GCCCTACTCTGCAGCCACTCTTGCAGCCCCGCCGTCGCCGCCATCGTGCGCATGCCCTTCCCGCCACTAGTGAGCACCTGCCCTACCCGCGCTTCCCGCACGTCTGCCTTGTTAGCGCGCTGCCGCGCCATTTGCTTGCCTGCCTGTTTGCCTGCCTGCCTGCCTGCCTGCCTGCCTGCCTGCCTGCCTGCCGCGCGTGCCCTGCCCGCGCTGCTACTGCTGCTACTTCTGTTACTGCTGCTAGGCTACTGCTGCTACTGCTGCTGCTACTACTGCTACTGCTGCTACTGGCGGTGGCCAGATGCAGCTCCAGCAACGTCCACGCGAGTCTCTCACGCCCCAGCAGCTTCGTGAGTGGTACGCTAGTTGGGGTTGTGGCGGTAGCCGTCGTAGCTGTCGCCCTGGAGCTAGTCAGTTGGGAGCGTCTGGCAGTGGCCAGCTGCAGCTGCAGCGGCATCCGCGCGAGACACTTACGCCCCAGCAGCTTCATGAGTGGTACGCTCAGAGTAGAGGGTCTTGGAGTACCGTTCGCTGCACGTACGTCATTCGCACAGGTGATCGGGCTGGTCAGGCTTGCGGGACGCTTGGTCACACACAGTCCCGCTGCTTTGCCCGTCTGGGAGTGCTGGTCCTGGGGGTGCTGGTCCTGGGGGTGCGGAGCCTGGAGGTGCTGAGCCTGGGGGTGCTGAGTCTAGAGGTGCTGCACCTGGGGGCGCTGCGGCGTCTGGTGAGCAGTCTCCCTGGAGCGGCCGTCTCCGTAGTGGCTCAGCAGGTGCCTCGCCGCTGCACTCTTGTCGTCGTCTCCCTCTCTCCCCACAGCAGCTGCGTGAGTGGTACGTTGGCCGTCAGGGTCGAGCTGCTGGAGCTGGGGGCCCTGCTGCGGGAGGCGCTGGTGTTGGAGGCACTGGAGCCGGCACTGTCCCTCTCTCCCCACAGTAGCTGAGTGAGTGGTACGTTAGCCGTCAGGGTCGCGCTGCTGGAGCTAGGGGCCCTGCTGCGGGAGGCGCTAGAGCTGGTGACTCTGCTACTGGAGTTGTTTCTTCTCAAGTTCCTGGGGCAGCTGGTCCCGGAGGTGCTCGTACTAGAGGTACTGGAGCTGCTAGGACTGGAGGTCCTGCTGGACCTGGAGGTGCTGCTGTTGACTCTGAGGTTGGAGGCCCTGGAGCTGGGGGTGCCGGTTCTGGGGATGCTACTGCTGGTGGCGCTGGAGCTGGAGGTTCTGGAGCTGCTGCGGGTGCTGGCGCTGGAGTTTCTGGCGCTGTTGGAGGTGCTGGCGCTGGTGGCGCTGGAGCTGGAGGTTCTGGAGCTGCTGCAGGTGCTGGCGCTAGAGGTTCTGGAGCTGTTGGAGGTGCTTGCGCTCGTGGCGTCGGAGCTGGAGGTTCTGGAGCTGCTGCGGGTGCTGGCGCTGGAGGTTCTGGAGCTGTTGGAGGTGCTGGCGCTGGTGGCGTCGGCGCTGGAGGTTCTGGAGCTGCTGCGGGTGCTGGCGCTGGAGGTTCTGGAGCTGCAAGAGGTGCTGGAGCTACTGGTGCTGGTGGCGCTGCGCCGCCGTGACTGTTCTTCGCTCCGCCGTCACCTTCGTCTCTGCCACCGCCTGGGTCCGTGCTTCGCCAGGTTCTTAGCCTCCCGTCTTCTACTGGTCTTCCGTTACAGCCTGGCTCACCGCTGCCTGCTCCTTCTCCTTACACTAAGCTGACAGGCGGTCTTGCTGAGCGTCGTGAGCCTGCGTCTCGTCCTGTCTCGCCTGTTCGCACTGTCCGCACTGGTCGTACCGGTCGTCGTCTTTCCCGTGAGCGTCCACCGGCTGTCCACGGCACACACCTCATGGCCCTGCGTCCTTCCTCTGCTCCGCAGTGTGTTCCCCTACCGTCCCCGCCTGCGTCTTCTCTGCCTGACGTTCCAGAGCCTGAGTCTGACCGCGCTCGTGCTGCTCACCCTACTGTCACGCGTCTGCTAGCCACTGTTGTCACAGACCCGTCGTTTGAGTCTGCTGCTGCGTCTGCCTTAGTTGCTGAGCTTGTTGACTTTGCTGCTGCCTGTCGTCTAGACTACACCGCTTGTCTTGTTGCTGAGTCTGAGTCTGTCAGTCCTCCGTCCGTCGGGGGTGAGTGTGCTCTTGGCACGGACGTCCTTGAGGACAGGCACGAGGACCTTGAGTGTCTTGCAGCCGCTGCGCCTCATCTTGTGGCCATGCTGCTTGCCCCTGAGGGAGACCCGGATGCTCCAGACATCCCTACCCCGCGCTCTTACGCTGAGGCGATCGCGGGTGAGTACTTCTCTCAGAGGCAGGCAGCCATGGACGCAGAGATGGCATCCTTGAAGTCCACAGGCACATACGTTGACGAGGTTCCCCCTCCTGGGGCGAATTTCGTCGATGGCATGTGGATTTTCAGGGTGAAACGGCCGCCAGTTTCTCCGCCTTTCTTCAAGGCTCGTTATGTTGCTTGAGGTTTCAGTCAGCGAGAGGGAGTAGACTTCTTCCAGGCCTTCTCCCCCACCCCGAAGATGACCACTCTTCGGGTGCTGCTGCACGTTGCCACTCAGCGTGACTACGAGCTTCACTCTCTTGACTTCAGCACAGCTTTCTTACAGGGCGGCCTGCGCGAGGAGATTTGGCTGCGCCGCCCTCATGGCTTCACTGGGTCGTTTCCTCCTGGTACCCAGTGGAGCCTCCGGCGGCCAGTCTACGGTCTCCGCCAGGCGCCGCGTGAGTGGCACGACACACTGAGGACGACACTTGCGGCTCTTGGGTTTGCTCCTTCCACTGCTGACCCGTCGATGTTTCTGCGCACCGACACTTCGCTGTCGCCGTTCTACATCCTCGTGTACATCGACGACTTGGTCTTTGCCACTGCTTACACTGAGGCTCTCGCCCTGGTGAAGTCGGAGCTGCAGGAGAGACACACATGCACAGACCTGGGTGAGCTGCACAGCTATCTTGGCTTGCATATCACCCGGGACAGAGCACGCCGCACCATCACACTGACTCAGTCACACATGGTGCAGCAGGTCCTTCAGCGCTTCGGCTTCACCTGGTCCTCGGCACAGGCCACTCCTCTTGCTATAGGTCACTCGCTCTCAGCTCCACCTTCGGACGAGTCCGTAGAGCCGAGTGGTCCTTACCCAGAGCTAGTGGGCTGCCTCATGTACCTGATGACCTGCACTCGTCCTGACCTTGCGTACCCTCTTGGCCTTCTGACTCGCTACGTGGCTCCTGGTCGGCACCGAAAGGTGCACATGGATGCTGCTAAGAGGGTACTATGCTACTTGTGCAGTACATCGGGCATGGGGCTTGTGCTTGGAGGACGAGGCGAGTTTGTCCTCACTGGTCACTCAGACCTTTGTTGGGTTGACGACCAGGCTACGCAGCGATCGTCACAGGGTTACATCTTTAGCCTTGGCTCTGGCTCTGTTTCTTGGCGGTCTACATGCTCGTCATTTGTTCTCAGCTCCAGTTGCGAGGCTGAGATCTACGCCACAGCCATGGCTGCACAGGAGTTACGCTGGCTTAGCTACCTGCTGACTGACTTGGGAGAGCGGCCTCGTTCTCCTCCAGTCCTGTACGTAGACAACAAGGCCGCCATTGCCTTGCGTGAGGAGCACTGACTGGAGCACAGAACGAAGCACATCTCTCTGCGTTACTTCCTTGCTCGAGAGTTGCAGCAGCGTGGTCAGCTTCGTCTTGCTCACGTGGCCACTCGGGCCAACACTGCTGATATATTCACCAAGGCACTTCCGTCTGGTGATCATCGGCGTTTTTGTACTTTGTTGGGCCTTGTGCCTACGTTTCCTCACTTGAGGTAGGCTCTGCCTGTACTGTGATCTACATATATATTTAAGAATGCTTGCTCCTGGTAGGCAGAGAGCACGGTGCTGTTGTTGTTGCATATATACCTCTGCATGTGAACTGGCCTTGTGGCTCTTTGCTTGTGTTCAGTGTGTGTGGTGACATTGTGATCCACCCTGGGCTTGTTTTACTTCTTTTGACTGGTCTTGTGACCCCTTGCTCTCCCCCACTTTGCCTATGGGGGTGTGTCAAATCATATGCATGTTATATATGTGTAGGCTGTAGTGGGGTAGCCAATATGGGGTACAACCCCATTAGGGTTTCATATTTGTACCAAACCCTGATCTAGTCAATCCATTCTTGCTGCTACATTCTAACATACCTCTGCATGTGAACTGGCCTTGTGGCCCTTTGTTTGTGCTCAGTGTGTGTGATGACGTTGTGATCCACCCTTAGCTTGCTTTGCTTCTCTTTAGTGGTTTTGTGACCCCATGTTCTCCCCCACTTTGCCTATGGGGGTGTGTCAAAGTATATGCATGTTATATATGTGTAGACTGTAGTGGGGTAGCCAATATGGGGTACAGCCCCGTTTAGGGTTTCATACTTGTACCCAACTCTTCCATAGTGCATTCATTCCTGTCTCTTGATTCTAACAGTTTAGGCTGTAGTGGGGTAGCCAATATGGGGTACAGCCCCTTTTAGGGTTTCATGTTTGTACCCAACACTTTCCTAGTTCACTCAATCCCGTCTAGCATTCTGACAATTCTTGTGTGTAGGTCCCTTTTGAAAGTGCATGAATTCTCAATCTATCTGTACAGTTGGCCTTTCTCTGTTAAATAACTATGGTATTCTTGTGTGTAGGTCCCTTTTGAAAGTGCATGAATTCTCAATCTACCTGTACAATTGGCCTTTCTCTGTTAAATAACTATGGTGTTCTTGTGTGTAGGTCCCTTTTGAAAGTGCATGAATTCTCAATCTACCTGTACAGTTGGCCTTTCTCTGTTAAATAACTGAGGTATTCTTGTGTGTCCCTTTTGAAAGTGCATGAATTCTCAATCTACCTGTACAGTTCGCCTTTCTCTGTTAGATAACTATGGTATTCTTGCCCAGCACTGTACATGGAGAGCGGCGACCAGACATCACATCACGATTCACATCTCTTGTAAGGAAAGAATTACCCACCCACACCCAAAAACAGTCTCAGCAGCTAGCCACTTCAACCACCACCACCACCACCACCACCATTATCCTCCTGAAGAAAGATGGATTCCGCCATTCCAACGAGCGCTATAACGAGAGCCGTATCAGCGTTCGGCTTGATGCGCACTGCGTATCTCAGAAACTCCTCGGCCGAAAAGATGTCCCTCTTAAACTCTGCCAACAGAAGCCCGGTACTCGTGGTGATCTGAGCAATAAGAGAAATAGAGCAAGCGCAGGGACGAGGGAGGGGAGGGACAAACATATTCAGATTCAACACCAGTTCCCTGGCCGACCAGATGTCCCTCTCCACCTGCGCCAACACAAATCCGGTATAGACAGAGCACAGGGAAACCCGGTACTTGTTGTGACCGAGAGATGAGAGAAATAGACAAAGCACAAGGAAAGGGAAAGAGAGGCATCAAGCATATTAAGCTGCATGCGTCAACTCCCTGACCGACCAAATGTCCCTCTCCACCTGCGCCAACATGAGCCCGCTGTTTGTGGTGTTCTGAGCAACAAGAGAGATCTCGCAACCACAGGGAACGGGGATCGAGAGGAAAGAGGCATAATGAGAGCGTCAACCCCCTGTAAAACCAGATGTCCCTCTCCACCTGCGCCAGCACTAGCCTGCCGCTGGTGGTGGTCTAAGCAATGGAGCAAGCATAGGGACAGGGAGAGGGAAGGAAGAGGCATATGATCAAGCATGGCTTGACAAGGCATTAGCTTACTCTCACTAGAGAAACGAAGACGGAATGTCCAGAGGGGGGAACGGGGGAGTAAAGATATCCGCTCGCATGTACGAGTTTCTATGTTGGCTTGAAGATTCGCATACACACACACGGGAAACCGACTGCCTCATAAAACGAGAGTACTTGTTAGAATACGTACAGTGAACTTGTGTTGGAAAAAGTCGCCTTTGAGAACAATGTCCGGCCTGTCGTCGAAGGAGTTCCCTTTCAGAAAGATCTGCCGAGAAATGAAACTCCACGACAAGAAGAACAGAAGCTGCAGCTGAACAACCAGTAAAAAGCCTTTTTCCAAATCCTTTTGAAGGATTCTTTTGAGGATTCTTAAACGCGATGAGATCAGACGCTGCAGCTGAACAACCAGTGCCACGTTCTGGACCATTCACTCCTGCGCACACTCTCGCCCTCCCTCAGTCACTCACCCCCTCCCTCCCTCACTCACTCCCTCACTCTCTCGCGCGCTCAACCCGGGACCGAGCTTTCAGGAGAGAAACATGCTCTGGCAGTCAGCATCGCTCTAGACTGTCTGGCTGGCATCTGTTCAGTACCCAGTCCCTCCCTCATTCACTCACTGACTAAACTCACTCATACTTACACTCACTCAATCAATCTCACTCACTCATTCACTACCTCCCTCAATCGCGCACTCACTTGAGAATGGGAGTCCATGAGAAGAAACTGCTCCTGGAAGCCAGCCACGTGTCACTTTCACCACACTCTGCTGCTACCTCCGCAGCCCAGCTGTTTATTCTTGACACCCACGTGTCACTTTCAGGGTGTTTTTGAGAATTCTCAAAAACACTCTGCTAGCTCATTTCTCATTCGCTCCCTCCCTCCCTACTCCCTCCGACTCGCCTTTACTCGTGCACTCACATTGAGGACGGGAGTCAATATTCTCGCTCATATTTCCTTCACTCCCTCCCTCCCTCCCTCTTTCCCTCACCCATACACTCACATTGAGAATGGGAGTCCTTGCTCATTTCTTCTTCACCCCCTCCTTCCCTCCCCAACTCCCTCGCGCACTCACATTGAGAATGGGTTTCCACGAGAAGAACTTGCTCCGGGCAGTGAGGAGCGCATCACGTTTATCCACGCTGGCGCCCGGGCACAGGTAGGTCTCGTCGTGCAGCGACAAGGCCTTGCTGGTCAGCGAGCACACCGGCTCGTCCTGGGCGTTGAAGATTGTCTTGCGGTTGCGCCACGAGAACGCCCTGCGCGAATGTGGGGGGGATAGGAGGGGGGAAAGCAGGGAGAAGGCCTTGCTCGTCTGCGAGTAGACCGCCTCGTCCTGGGCGGTCCCGCCACAGGCAGGCGAGAAGGCAGGCAGTAGAACGCCTTGCGTGAAGGCGTGCGAGAAAAGAAACAAAAGAAAAAAGGCATAGAGAGTGGAAAACAGAGAAAGAGAACACACACGCGAACACACACACACAGAGAAAAAGAGAGGGCTGTTACATCCCGTGTGACGTGACTGTTTTTGGAAGGTTTCTTCTCTGTGAGTCAACCTCGGTCACAGATGCTGTTGAGAATGCTCAACGGTGATTGAGGTTACCAGCAACTGCCCAGCTTTGACCACAAAATTGCACGTGAAAAAACTCTTTCTTTCTCACACCGTCCTCCCCTTTCCTCCCCCCCTCCTTTTCCCCTTCCCACCCCCTCCTTCCATTTCCCCTCCTCCTTACCCTCACCCTCCACCAAGAAATGAAAACAACAACGAACTTTAGAGTGGGTTGACTTCTGAGTCGACTCAAGAGAGTTACTTTATCTTGGTCTTGAAAAAGAGGCGGCCTTGCGTGTCGTATACGTCCGCTTTGCCGTGCAGCGACCACATCTTCTTCCTCAATATAAGCACCGTCTCGTACGGGAGGCAGTACTGAAGCCCCACCACCACGTATGGCTCCGTCATCAGAAAAATGTCCGCCCAGTTTGGGGCAGTAGACAGTTGAGAAGGTGAAGGAGCGTGGGAGTTTACTGTCAGTCACATGCCCAAAACTGTCAACGCTGGTTGACAACCACTTTTCGGTCCGAAGGTAAGGGCGTGTAAAATCCCCGCAAATTTGCGAGATCTGCTTTTGGCCGGTTTTACGTCGACCGGTCGACATTTCTTTCGCGAAAGTCGACGGATTGATCGACTTCGTGTCGTCACATTTACAGCCACTATTTGCAGATTTGTAAACTTTAAAGCTGCGGTCTACATACGAAAATGTATTTTCGGGGGGTATTTCGGGTGCACACCCTAGGTCGCATGCTGATTGGGGAACGAAATGACTCTTTTCCAGAAATGAGCGCGCGAATGTTTCAAACAGAACAGGCGAATCCCGCCAGTTTCGTGAAAGGTTCGCTTGGGGGGTAATTATTTCGGGAGGATTGGGTTGTGTTGGCGATTTCGCCAACACGTGCAACCAATCCGAGTTGGGGAGCAGAATGGCGCGAAATTTAGAAGCCAATCCTGTTTCGCCCAATCTTCAGAGGAAAGGTTGTGCTGTCAGGGTGCAGTAACTCCACCTCGCCACTCAAGGTTGGAGCGAAGCTCAGTGCAACCGTGTTTTCAAGTGATAAACCTAGGCCTCCCGCAGGAGGTATGTAGGCGACAGCTTTAAAGGTTTGAGGGCCGAATTTCAGGCCGGTTTCAGAAAGTTGTAAAATTTGCAGTTGCTACAGTAGGAACGTATGTGCGACGGGGTCGTACATTTAAAGCGACGGTGCACATTTGCCACCCAAAACCCAGAACCCTGGCGAACTGTTACTGCGGATGGAAAGTGTCCGCACGAAATCCTGGTTTTCGCCAGCCAGCACTTTCGCGCTGGCAAGCCTGGTTAAAAAAAAAAACTTCTGAACCCAATACTGCCAAAAGTTGCCCGTCGCTTTAACGGCGAAAACTCCGATTGGACAGGATAAAAATTTCATTCGTTCTGCGAGACCGTGCGACGTCATACGTGACAGTCGCTCACGGTGTCGACTACTTGGCCGAATTGGAGTCAACATGGTGTCGGATACGAGTCGACTTTCAAAACGGCCATCAATTTCGTATTTTATTGGCGAACTTAACGACGGTGGAGAGCGTCTTCGATTTTTTCTCAAACGGGTTACTTTCGCCAATTCGGCCATTTGGCTAGTGACCGAATTTTTAGGTGCGGCGATTTTACACGCCCTAAGTTCGGTTGTGTGGTGGTTGACGCAGCAACAACGAACGGATTCTGCAGGTTGCGGTCGAAATCAGCTCGAGGTGTCAGCTTTGCTTGGCCACGTGGACTGTAGGAACAGCGTCGGTTGTGGCAGGAACTGGTGGAACACACCGTTGCGACGAACAGTTGGGAAGATGTGCTGGCGTTTACGATATGGTTACCTGAGCAACCAGTTTCTAATTGTACGGTATTAAATATTTCAGTTCGTTATTGAGGAATTTTACTATTACTGGAAATTAACAACTCGATATAGTCACATTTGTGTTAAATAACGTGCCGTGATTGTATACAGCAGATCTCAATATATTTAAAATTATTGCTACATTGATATAAAACAGCATTGGCTACAATATAATTAGGTTGATATAATTGAGCAAAATTAAGGGAGTACAGCATAATTCTCTACGAGTCAGAATAGGAGTAAAATAGGAAAAAAAAAAAACTACTATACTTAGAAAGATATCACAGGTTGTTAATAGGAGGCCAAGGGGTTGGAACGATCCCAGAGGGGAAGAAAAACAGCTCATATCCCTCAATCAAAATCCTAACTTTCCCAACGCCCATCTCAAACCCCATGGGCTCATCGATCTTGAACGTGGCAAGCTCCCTTTCAAGGGTTTCCTTCAGCCATGCGGCAACCACCCTCGTCTTGGCATGGACGTTGTTGCGGTTGTTGGTCTCATTGTTGTCCAAAGATGCGTAGCCCTTCTTGCCCTTGTGATTCTCCAATGGCCATTCAACCTGCCACCAATGAAATCACCTGAGTTAAGAACAATGTGCAGGGGGAAACAAAATGGATCAAATAACACAAGTGACAATCTTACCACGTTGCACAAATAGTCGATTGCTGGAATCTGTCAGAGTTATTTGACATAGTTACTGTAGGCTATAGTGGGGTAGCACATATGGGGTACAGTTTCCAAGGGTTTGCCTTTTGTACCCAACTTTCACTTAGTCATTTCATTCCTGTTTTCTTGATTCACATGGTATAGAGCGGGTTCCTACATGGGACCGTTCCTTCCTAAGGGCCCACCATAAGAAAAAAAAAATTTTAGCTGCCCGCGCACATTGCGCCCTGCCCTAAAATTTTTTTTTTTAGCGGCCCCTACGCTGCCCCTACGCGGCCCCTACGCCGCCTCCCACGCGCCCCCTATGCGGCCCCTGGCGGCGCCCTGACGAGGCCCCTGCCGGCGCCCTATCGCGGCCCCTGACGCGCCCCCTGGTGGCGCCCTGACGCGGCCCCTGGCGGCGCCTGACGCGGCCCTGACGCGGCCTGACGCGGCCCCTGGCGGCGCCCTGACGCGGCCCCTGCCGCGGCCCTGACGCGGCCCTGCCGCGGCCCCTGACGCGGCCCTGACGCGGCCTGCCGCGGCCCCTGCCGCGGCCCTGAAGCGGCCCCTGACGCGGCCCTGACGCGGCTCTGCCACGGCCCTGACGCGGCCCTGACGCGGCCCTGCCGCGGCCCCTGGCGGTGCCCTGACGCGGCCCCTGACGCGGCGCCCTGACGCGGCCCCTGCCGCGGCCCTGACGCGGCCCTGCCGCGGCCCCTGACGCGGCCCTGACGCGGCCTGCTGCGGCCCCTGCCGCGGCCCTGAAGCGGCCCCTGACGCGGCCCTGACGCGGCTCTGCCGCGGCCCTGACGCGGCCCTGACGCGGCCCCTGACGCGGCCCATGCCGCGGCCCCTTACGCGGCCCTGACGCGGCCCTGCCGCGGCCCCTGGCGGCGCCCTGACGCGGCCCCTGACGCGGCACCCTGACGCGGCCCTGCCGCGGCCCCTGACGCGGCCCCTGCCGCGGCCCCTGACGCGGCCCCGCCACCTACCTTTCCGGCCCCGCCGCCTCCTCTCAGCGGCCCCGCCGCCTCCTCTCAGCGGCCCCGCCGCCTCCTCCCAGCGGCCCTGAGAAGATTTGAACAAGAATGAATGAACTATGAATGAAGTGAGTACATATAGGAAACCATAATTGGGTTGTACCCCCTATGGGATACCCCACTATAGCCTACACAACTGCATAAGCTATATATATGTTCTGACACACCCCCATAGGCAAAGTGGGGGAGAACAAGGGGTCACAAGACCAGTCACGCAAAGCACAGCAAGCTCAGGGTGGATCACAAAGTCACCACACAGTCCGAGCACAACGACAAGGCCACAAGGCCAGTTCACATGCAGGAGTGCACATATATATATAGAGCTAGACAAGCAAGAGCAGGTATATATATGTGACAGTACAAGCAAGGTCAAGAGGAGAGCAAGTGAGGCAAGACAGGTACAAGACCCAGCTGAGTGCAGAAGCGCTGATGGTCACAAGGCGCAAGTGCCTTGGTGAACACATCAGCAGTGTTGGCCTCAGAGGCCACGTACGCAAGTCGCAACTGACCACGCTGCTGCAGCTCACGAGCAAGAAAGTAACGACGAGCAATGTGCTTCGTTCTGTGCTCCAAGCGCTGCTCTCGACACAAGGCCAGCATGGCCTTGTTATCTACGTACAGCACTGGAGGAGAACGAGGCGGCTCTCCAAGGTCAGTCAGCAGGTAGGTGAGCCAGCGAAGCTCCTGTGCAGCCATGGCCCCGGCGTAGATCTCAGCCTCACAACTGGAGCCGAGAACAGAGGACGAGCGAGTAGCCCGCCACGAGACAGAGCCGGAACCAAGACTGAAGGTGTAACCCTGCGACGACCGCTGCGTAGCCTGGTCGTCAGCCCAAGAAGCGTCCGCGTGCCCAGTGAGGACCACTGGACTCCGCCCTCCAAGCACTAGCCCCATGCCCGACGTACTGCACAAGTAGCGCAACACCCTCTTCGCTGCAGCCATGTGCTCTGGTCGGTGTCTCCCAGGAGCAACATAGCGTGCAAGAATGCTAAGAGGGTATGCAAGGTCAGGTCGTGTGCAGGTCATCAGGTACATGAGGCAGCCAACAAGCTCTGGGTACGGGCCACTCGACTCTACGGACTCATCCGAAGGCAGAGCTGAGAGCGAGTGGCGAGTAGACAGAGGAGTGGCCTGAGGCGAGGAGTACGTGAAGCCGAAGCGCTGAAGGACCTGCTGCACCATGTGTGACTGAGTCAAGGTAATGGTGCGGCGTGCTCTGTCCCGAGTGATCTGCAAGCCAAGGTAGCTGCGCAGTTCACCCAGGTCTGTGCACGTGTGTCTCTTCTGTAGCTCGGACTTCACGTAGGCTAGTCCAGCAGTGTCAGCTGTGGCAAAGACCAAGTCGTCGACGTACACGAGGATGTAGAACGGCGGCAAAGAAGTGTCGGTGCGCAGAAACAACGACGGGTCAGCCGTAGAGGGAGCAAACCCAAGAGCCGCAAGCGTAGTCCTCAGTGTGTCGTGCCACTCACGCGGTGCCTGGCGGAGACCGTAGACTGGCCGTCGGAGGCTCCACTGGGTGCCAGTAGGGAAAGTCCCAGTGAAGCCAGGTGGACGGCGCAGCCAGATCTCCTCGTGCAGGCTACCCTGCAAGAAAGCAGTGCTGAAGTCAAGAGAGTGGAGCTCGTAGTCGCGCTGAGCGGCTATGTGCAGCAGCACCCGAAGAGTGGTCATCTTCGGGGTGGGAGAGAAAGTCTGAAAGTAGTCAACTCCCTGCCGCTGACTGAAGCCACGAGCGACGTACCGCGCCTTGAAGACAGGTGGAGAGCCCGGCGGCCGCTTCACCCTGAAGATCCACATGCCACTGACGATGTTCGCCCCAGGAGGGGGAACCGCGTCAACGTAGGTGCC